ACCTTGTTATTCTTGCATAACTTTATCACGAAATTGGATCAAAACATCTGCACTTACTGAACTTTTGCAGCTCAGAAGAAGCTATTTGGTTAGTAGCGAAACGTTGACTGCAAGAGTTTAGTAAGTCCAGTTCTTTTACTTCAGTTTCGTGATAATATCTTGAGACATCAGTTGCTGGATGTCTTAAGAACTGCTTCAATTAATGTCAATTTCACACAAAAAAGTCCCAGCTATTCTTAACCAAAACCGATCTAACTCCACTCCGTTGTGAATTTTGGTCCGCCTTCCGTTTTCCTCCTCCTTCCCTCTCTTTTAATTAAGCCGTAATGTTGACGAGTGCTTCCGAGGCTGTGGTGGATGTGTTCCTGGAGTGTGTGCCCCAAGCAGATGACAGCTTAAATCCATTTACTTGCAAATGAAGCTCCCAAGATAAAATTCAAGCCAATCTTCCCCATTTGTCATCCGTGTGCGACTCCGACGTTCCTCAAAGACAATTTTCCAAACCTGTTGTTGAGATTATTTACAGTCATGATGAGCGCTCAGGCTTCAGTAGTGACAGTTCTTTATTGAATGTAGGAATCACAAAAGACAACTTAAATGGAGTCTTGTTTTTCATTGGGAGATAGTTGTGAAGGATGAGTAACCCATTTCGGAAAACAAAATATCTATTTGATAATATCCCCTTTGGACCAGTAAATGTAGCTCCTTGATATTTTTGCATAGTATTTAGTTGAAGTGGTAGTAGGAGTTGTTGTAGTTGTTGTGGTGGTGGTGGTGGCAGTAGTAGTAGTAGTAGTAGTAGAAGTAGAAGTAGTAGTAGAAGTAGTAGTAGTAGTAGTAGAAGTAGTAGTAGAAGTAGTAGTAGAAGTAGTAGTAGTAGTAGTAGTAGTAGTAGTAGTAGTAGTAGTAGTAGTAGTAGTAGTAGTAGTAGTAGTAGTAGTAGTAGTAGTAGTAGTAGTAGAAGCAGTAGAAGCAGCAGTAGTAGTAGTAGTAGTAGTAGAAGCAGTAGAAGCAGCAGTAGTAGTAGTAGTAGTAGAAGCAGTAGAAGCAGCAGTAGTAGAAGTAGTAGAAGTAGTAGAAGTAGTAGAAGTAGTAGTAGAAGTAGTAGAAGTAGTAGAAGTAGTAGAAGTAGTAGAAGTAGTAGAAGTAGTAGTAGAAGTAGTAGTAGTAGTAGAAGCAGTAGTAGTAGTAGAAGCAGTAGTAGTAGTAGAAGCAGTAGTAGTAGTAGTAGAAGCAGTAGAAGCAGTAGAAGCAGCAGTAGTAGTAGAAGCAGTAGTAGTAGAAGCAGTAGTAGAAGAAGCAGTAGTAGTAGTAGTAGTAGTAGTAGTAGTAGTAGTAGTAGTAGTAGTAGTAGTAGTAGTAGTAGTAGTAGTAGTAGTAGTAATTCACCTCTCCAAACTACATACTAAGTGAAAATATATTTACTTTTTATACCACACTCCCTATGTAAAATATGATAAAAACAAATATATTTATCTGACAATCTTAAAATGCCATACTGTGGAACATTCTAGGCAAAGAAATAACATCTCCTTTGAAAGACAAGTGGGTAGACCTTTCACCAGAAAAGGTACACAATGATGTATATCTGCCTATGTGATTAAAACAGCTTTTTGACATATCTAAAAAAACAAACAAACAAACAGTGTCAATATATTCTTTTTTCTACTAGAGAGAAAAAAATCACAAGTCCCATTATGTATTCCTGCCATCATATTCCTTTTAAGATGAAACGACTCCATATAACCATGTGTAATCCCACTCCAAAGACGCTCCCGCATATTGCTAATCTAATATGAATGAAGACGCCTTGTTCAAGCTGCCACATATGAGTTTCGGGTGTAAAAATGTGATATTGATGTGGTGCCATGAGCTGAAGCGGAGCACTCCCCCCCGCTGAGTATCAAATATATATTAGTAAATAAAACATTCAAGCATTAAATATTCACATCTATAGACTCAGTGAACCGGTTTTTGGCCTTTGATTAAATACATACTTAGCTGGTAGCATCCAAGGTATCCTATAGTGTTGGTATTATTATTATTATTATGGTACACAACTGAAATGTCTTTCTTTGCATAAAATTATCTTAAAAATCTGATACTATAATCACTTTAGAATGATCTTGATCTGTATAAGAACAAGTGTAAGAGCACATAGACTAGAATACACCAATGAAACCTACCTGGACTAACGAATTACCCAGATTTAAGACCAAATGGTAATATAAAAGAAAATACTATGATTTAATGACATTCTGTAGACTAAAAAATGAGTTTTTTTTTTAAATTGTGGCATCTGAATCAGTACGCAGTATCGTGTCTATGCCTGAGTATTGTGACAACATTAATTCAGTTACACGGCTTTTTTTTTGTTGCTCAAATACCCAAAAAGACGTATTTTTACTATGAGCAGGGTTGCCTCTTCATAGATCTTGTAAATTTAGTTTTAGTTTGGTTAATAGGGCTGGGTATCATTAAGAAGTTGCCGATACGATACATACCTCGATACACAAGTCACGATACGATACATATCTCGATACAGTGCACTTTCGGTTCGATATATTTCAAATCGATTCGATACGGTTCAGTAAAATATAAAGGCTAAATCATGGCTGTAATACTAAAAGTCTTTGTTAAACCAGGTCTTGCGCAAAGTTAATATGAATATTTTAATCATCATAACTGTGAAAATAGCAAATGTGTTGCATAAACAAGTTACCTCACTCCAAACAAGCAACAAAATAATTGCGTAAAATATATTAAAAAAATACACTTAGCGATTTATCGATAAAGCAGCCCACAATATCGATACTGTATTATCACATTAAACGATCAGGGTAGCTACGGGGTCTTAAAAGTCTTAAAAAAGTCTTAAATTTCATGTTCCTAAATTAAGGCCTTAAAAAGTCTTAAGACTTGGACCACATAATTTATGTTTTTCACAAAGGTCTTAAATTTCATTAGCCTATTTTTTTGTTTACTCAGCTGGGCTGCAGTGCAATGTTAAATGGAGGAAAAAACAAAAACAACGTGAAATCATGAATGAACGTTTGCGCAAACAATACTTAGTTTGTCTTGTTAGAATGTTATAAATTATTTTTTGGCGATTTTATAAGCAATGCATACTACTATAAATGAGTTCTAAATGAGATATTATAATAAAAGTTTTGTTATTTAAAGCAGTGAGTAATGGCCATTATTAGAATTGGATCTGGTGTTTTTAGCCCGCATAATGGGTGCGATGTTGGTCTTAATTTTCATTTAAGTGGTGTTAAAAAGGTCTTAAAAGTCTTAAATTTGGGGTAGTCAAACCTGGGGATAGGCTGATTGATATTTCAATATTTTTGCACACCCCTACTGGTTACAACATTTGCTTATTCTCCATTGTGATGGATTAGTCTAATGTCATACTGTGGGACATTCTAGCCATAACAGTTTCATCACACACATCAGCTTTAATATATTCCGTAGTAGCAGGACAGTCATTTGAATATGCCCTCTTTTTGCATTAAAAAGTGAGTTGCCTCATTTATTGTATGGTTAATTACAGCAGTGCTTGGTGCTTCTCCATCTAAGGGCTTTCCCACTGCTGCCTATGGTTCAGAGAGTTCCCGCTAATGAGGGAATTCTCCTCTGTGTTGTTTATATAGTGCATAAAAAGCCCAGTTAAGCAGAGATAGCTAAATTAAATGGTATTAGATTTATACAAAGCAGTTTAGGCGATTATACAAGTGGTCTTTTGATAATGTGTTTCGGTTTAGTGAAGTAAAGAGACAGATTTATTCATGCTGCTGTAACAGACTAGAAAATATAAACTATAGGAGTAACACATATGACCTAGTCATTTTTGTACAAGAAAGAAAATCAGCTACTTATCAATACTAAAACTAGTACTGAAGCTAGATACTAGGTAAAAAAGTCACATTAACAGGACAGAAATGAAGCTTTCCTGAATAGATTTAGATTCTTTTGAGCAGTATCTTAACAAGTATAAGACCACATAGCACTGAACGACTGCGAAAGATATAAGACTACATGGTAATATAAAAGAAAGTACTAGTATTTAATGTACAAAATTACATTCTACAGTCTAAAGAAAGATTGCAGTATCGAATCATTATTGACAACACTACGAAAAACATTAAAAGGTATGAGATATTTTCAGTTCAGAAATAGGACACAGTTTTTGAATACATTTTTCATGAACAATTAGTTTTCATAAATATTCCTTAATGATCCCGTGCATCAACAAGTTTTCAGATTCAATTTCAGTTCATGGTCGTGTTTGCATGTTCTGACTGTGTCTTAGTTGATTGATTTTGTGTACACATGAGACCCACATGAGACCAACAGACCAGTCCTCCCGCTGATAACCTTTGGCTCAGTGTCATTGTAAGGTCTTCAGGCTCTGCCAGTTTTCCTTTAGGCACAATGATAATACCGCTTTTACTCATCATGTATTCATATATCAGGTTGGTGTTTGTGTAGCATATAAAACGATATTCAGAAACCGAAATGCAAACATTACCAATAACCTGTTCTTGTACCATCCATTTGACACATGTACACAACTTTGAACCTGTTGTTGTGATTGGTTGTGATTAGATTTGTAATTTAGGTTTCAAAATGGTATGATTTCGTTCAGAGTACTCATTGTAAACAACTCCAGAAGCGTTCACACTGAAATATTAAGTGATCAACTAATACAAGAATCCAAGGCATTTCAGAACTTTGTAATGTGATAATAGTGGCAACATAGATAATGCTTTAAACTTCGCTTTTACGTGTCGTGCACTCGTGATAAATTTTATGTTGCGTACAAAACAATATCGCAATCCAACCCACAAAGCGTACTATCCAAATGAAAAGCAGTTCAAGTATATAACCGTACAACTGTTGCGTTACCGTGTCTTGCTCGTTACCGTCGATTATCGCCTATCGTTAATTGCGTTGCCGACCACCGCCACTGACCCCTGGTATGTTGTGTGTACGTGCAGCTCCCAGCAGACTTCAGCAGACTGCACCTGGCCGACGCCCTACACGCTCAGGGCCCCCACGTCTCCTCCAGCCACTCAGGATGTAGTATCACCAGTGACTCCGGGAGCAGCAGCCTGTCTGACATATACCAGGTAAGGAAGCCCCCGACCCCCGACCCCCAACTCCCGCCTCTCAAGTGCTCCGGATGCCCTACCTGGACCCTAACCCGCCCGTCCGCCTACCTGCCTACCTGCCCGCCTGCCTGGACTCACCAACTCCCTGTGTGAAATCAGTGATCAAAAATAATACAAGTGATTTTTGGAGATGAACTAACAAGTGAATTGTGATTTTTTTTTTTGAATGAATCCTAATCAGCGTTGTTGTGTGGAATCAATGATCAAAACAATACGAGTGATTTTGGGATTAATTAATGAGTGAATCTGATTATGATTTTGAAATCCTAATTTGCCTGTTTTGTGTGGAATCAAGTGAAATTGCTGCATTGTTTTGGGATATTATGCTCGAAAATGTGCATGTTTTTTTTTTTTTTTTTTTACGATGATGTTTGTGAACTTAAGCGGTGGTTTGCAGATATTTTTATTTCATTGTATTTTATCTGATTTAGATTTTAAAAGAAGCGTGTTGTGAAGCTGTGAGATTTTTTGTCAATACAAAATTTGGTTCAGTAGCATGTAGGGATGTAACAATAACCAAAATATAGTGATATTGTAACGTCAAAAGTCTCTCAATAATATCGTGGGCCATCACAAGATATCGAATCACAAGTTTCTTTGCTTAAATTCATTGGTATGGTGCAGCAATAGAAAAGACATAGGGAACTACATCGACCATGATCCTTTGCTCCGTTTTGGTGCAAACTACATGAAGAAATAGCAGTTCTAAGCACGTTTAAATCTTAGTTCTTTGAATTAAGTCTTCTCAAGGTGTTTTATGAGGAAAAATTTGCACAAAATATCGCAATAAATATCATACCGTGAGATTTGTATATTGTTACATCCCTAGTAGCATGTGCTGTGTGGTTTGCAGAATGAGTAGGGACATTTATATCGCAATACCATGTTAGTTTATCGTAATTTTAAATAACTGTCAATTGATACGATGTGAGTATGGGACCTAAAAGTGTGTCATGTGGTTGCTATGTGGCGGTTGTAAATAACAGAACATTTTTAGCTGTTGAAATTTTATCCTCAGACTTCACAGAAATTCTTTGATACCGATTTAAAGGGATAAAGCTATTTGAAACATCGGGAAATTACCGAAAGCCTCATATCATCGCACACTTCCATCTTAAAGTGTACGCATATTATAAAAGGAGAAAAAAGTGTAGTCAGTGAATTCAAATTAAGTCATCAACAGCTGAGACAACAGTGAATAGATCATTTTGACTAAGTTTTAACCGTTAGCAAGGAAAATGTTTAGGTTCTAAAACACATCTCAATCAAGTCAACGGTTGCTCCCTGAAAAGCGTGTGATAAGATTTTGAACTGAATTTTGAAATCGTGTTATTTCCGACTGCTGTGAATTAGCGTAACATAGTGGAGCATTTTCTTTTTGTTGAGGCGTGGTAAACGTTTTGACAGCGGTCTCTTTAAGACCCTAATGGGACACTGTGACTGCACCGCGGGGGGTGGACAGACTGGAGGAGGACACATTGCAGGAGGTCCAGAACATGTCTCCTCTCCTGCTCAGTTTTCATCGATGTTTTCTGACGTACACCACACACAGCGGCGCCAGGAATACTCAAGAAGTGTTTTTAGATTTTGGAAAGTGGTGATGTATTTTACTGGATGAATCATACGTGGATATTTTTTTGCAAATATAAATATAACAGAAAAGAGTGAAACTATTCTTACAGGAGCTAATAAAAAAACTACTTTCCCCTTAAAGAGTTAAAATCCGTTCAGCATTCAAACCTGCAAATCCAGTCCAAATTCCAATTATCAAAGTCTCTTGTTGAATTAAAAATACCAATCAAATACCAGGCAATACTAATCCTTTTCTTTTTTTTTTCAGTTCAATAATGATACTCATAGATTCACCAATACCTGATTTCGGCAGATACCAGAACAGGAACAGAAAAGAGCATTTTCTTAAAACTTAGCAAAGTAATGGATGAAAAAACAGATCCAAATGTGTTGTGCAACTTATCCTTAGCTACAGAACAGCTTTGTATAAACATGGGCTAAACTGGGGCAACCTCAACCAGTAAATATGTCTTATTACATCATTTTATAGCTCCAGTTAGGGTGACTGCTGAATTTCTTTTTTTCACTGAAATCTGATGCCAGTATTATTATCTCAAAAGTATTGAAAATTTGATACTAATTGATACTAAAACTAATCAAAACTACATACTCATTTGAGCTAGTATCTATACTAAAATAAGTCACATTCACAGGACAGAAATGAACTTTTCCTGAATATCTTTAGAATGATCTTGAGCTGTATCAGAACAAATATAAGAGCACATAGACTAGTATACGCCCATGGACCACTATGGAACCCACCTGGACCACTGAAGGATTACAAAAATATAAGACTTCATGGTAATATAAAAGGAACTACTATGATTTAATGTTGAGCATTGAGTATTGAGTAGTCTATTCTTTAGCAGGGCTGGGTAGCATTAAGAATTTGCAGATACATACCTCGATGCATAGGCCACGGTACAATACATATCTTGATACAGTGCTCTTTCGATTCAATACGATATATTTCAAATCGATTTGATATGGTTCAGTAAAAAAATAAAGGCTAAATCATGGCTGTGATGCTAAAAGTCTTTGTTAAACCACTTTTTGTGCAAAGTTCATATGAGAAACACCCATTTTAATCATCAAAAACAGTCCAAGTGTCAAATGTGTTGCATGAACAAGTTTCCTCCCTCTAAACAAGCAACAAAACTGTAGCACTGTAACAAAATAATTTAGTCAAATATACCCAAAAATACTCTTGGCGATATATCTATTGAGCAGCCCATGATATCGATACTGTATCAACACATTAAACGATACGATATATTGATATTTTGATATTTTTGCACACCCCTATTCCTTAGTTTCCAAATCAAGCTTGAAATTTTAGTGTCTTGGCATCCCTAAATGTACTTTCCAGTTGAATCAAATCTTAACAAAACTGTCACATTTCATTCAAACTGTCACTCAGATCAAATCCTATAACTTTTTTTGTATTCCTTCTTTCCAACTCTTCCAGCCAGCTTTCCCTGCCTGAGGTAACTAGCGAGGAAAGCAGTATTACTTAGCTCCATGTTGCACACACGGCCGGTCTTGTGACTGTGGTTGGTTGGGCCCTGAACCCGACTGTAATCCTCTTAAACTGCGCCCACTCGCCCATCGGCCCCTAATGCCGTCACCTGCTGTTGTGCCTCTCTGTACCACTCTGGCCTCCTGCTTGGCCTGTAACAAGTTGTATAGTTCCGTGTTGACCTTTCCGTGGCCCTTGTTGATGTGCATTGGAACGAGCTTGTTTAATAGCTTGTGTTTAAGTTCTTAATGTGTGTGTGGTTGTTTAGTTGAAGCTGGTTGGTGTAGAGGTTTCACTGTTGCTAACCCCGTGATCTCGGACTTACGGCCATCTGCTTGAGGAGTGTGGTGGTGATCTCTTTGATTTCTCATTTACGAAACTTATCATGATGTTAAGGTTAAAACATTTATTTATTTTCTAAGCACGGTTTTGAGATGTTTTCCAGTGTATAAATGATACTGGCAATAGGCTGGGCGATGTGACTAACACAGTTTAATTTCACTTTTTTGCACATACGAGATCAAGGGTGTCCAACCTTTTTCCTCCGGTGAGCGACCTTTACAAAAAAAAAATGTCAGAGAGCTGCTCATTTTTGCTGTTGCTAGAAACTGAGAAAGTAGAAGAGTCATGGCAAGCCTCAGATGGGGCACAGTTAGATGCCTATGAAACATAAACGTTTATCCTTTTATCAGTACACAAAGTCCAGCATCAAAATCAAAACATTTACAATGGTAATTAATCAAATATTAGTAATTTCGCACAATATCTATAATTCAGAATTCCTTTGGTGAGCTACTCCTGGTAGATCCCTGCCCTAGATGATTTTTAACCAATTTGAATCAAAGTCAGACCAAGATCTTCTAGTCTTTCAAACAGAGAAAGCTTCACATTCCTATTATTTAAGAAATTTGAAACTGTGTGATGGCAAAGTGAACTCTTAACCCCACGACGAAATAGGTTTTTATATTTATTTATTTGACCGGGACAGTGCAGTCACACGAGGACACAGCTGATGCGGCGCAGATAAGAGTGTGTAGCTGGTGCTAATTCTCAACTCCAGTCCCTGGTTGGGCTTTTCCATCCACTAAACAATTCAAATCTGACCTTATAAATGCATATTTACAAGAGTGCAGTTTTATGTTTGAGACATTCCCACATTCAAAAACACACCCACATACTCACAAGACACAATATGTGTTAACAAGTGTGTGCAACTTTGGTTTCTTTTTAACCAGCACTTAAGCGCTCTTATGCACTTCAGTTCAGGTAGTAGTGAGTTCCATAATTTACTGTCTGACTGTCCAAATGTGGTTTTGTGGTGCGGGATTAGACTGGTCCAGGTTTGCCCACTACTCCTTACAGACTGGAGTGTATCCGCCACCACCATGTTAGACTATTTAATACTCCTGCTTACAAATCGTGGAATCAGTTAGGACCCCCTCGACAACATATGTGTGCTGTTGATTGGCTGAGAGCAATTAGACGTCTATATAAAGAATTAGCCTACACTCGCTAAAAAGACCACCAGTTACCACCTAGTGAGCATAACAGCAGGGGGGGCAAGAGTTGTACATAAATTGCTTTCGAACCTGTGCTTCCCCATCAGCCACAGTTAAATTTAGAGGAGCTCGCTGACTCCGGCTGTTTAGCATCTGTTTCTTGCTGGCTGTAGACCACACAGTTGCAAACACACAAGTAGATCTGTAAAGCTTTTTACGACTATTGGACTATAGCAAATACACTAAAATAATTAACTTGTATTGAAATCTGTAGGTAGATTGGTTCATAAATGGCTTTTGAAGAAAACTGTGGCTTGGAAAAGTGTAAGATAGATTTCTTAATTTGAATTGAGAAACATTGAGCAGAA